AAAACAATCAAAGTGCGTTTATAATTCAGCTGATCCTATAAACAGGAGTAGATCAAATTTCTTTGATAGATTTCAATTGTGCGGTGTTTTAGGGAGTTTCAGCTTAAATTTAAGAGCTTCAACGATCCTTAAACCATCTCTCCGCAGGCAACTACAGAAGATCTTTTCAGCTGTAAATCAAATAACTCTCTAATGAGCTTCTGTTAGACTTGCGGATTCAAAATGAGGGCTATAGGAGAGTTAATATAAAAATTTAAGAAGAGGAAATTGCCTGCAAAAGCCCTATTAATATCTAATCACGATTTTTTCTACGAGCAAGTTAAGCGCTTTTTTAAATGACTGTCGTAAAGCTAAAGCCTTAGCGGCAATCACAGCAGCAAATCATAATATTACGCGGAGCCAATGTGCACTCGGAGTGAAAACAAGCACACTGTCTGAAACGCAGAAAACGAGAACGACCACTTTGCGATTATGTACAATACAGACAAACAAGGAAGTTAATTGAAGATTTTGGAGACGAGGAAGATTGTCTTCCTCTGACTGGATATTCAAAGTGAATTAACTGGAAAAAGTAAAACACAAGACAAGACAACTTTATTTGGAGTTGAAAAATTAAAAACGTTCTTCGAAATAATAAATTTGACACCTAATCAGTTGTCAATATTTTGTAGTATTATCAAACACAGGACGGAATTGAGGAATAATTGTACGCCCACGGATACGTGTATGCCAAGAACAACTCCTGGAGGTCGACTTAATGACTTGGTATAAAAACGTGGATCATGCCGTAATACATCATAAATGTGTACATATGTTGTTATAAGGGGTGATGTAACAATGGACCAATAATAAAGTCACTGTTACAGTTTTCAATCTTGTACATCTTTAAATGCGGCTAATCATCTCTCGTGTGAGGATAGTTTTTGGCGTGAGAAAACTGGACTTCGCGGGAAACGTATCAAACGGGGGAAAATAGCTCGGTAGAGTCCACACTGCTTGCGAGAACGGAAACTCATTGCGATTTCCTGGTATACGGAGATCTTCTTCGAGCGAGCTTGTACGGACGTCAAGGATGAGACAACGTTTCGGTTCCACAATAGGCTTTATTTTAGATCAGGCCAACAACTGACATGAACTTTAGCGTGCTCAAGTTTGTAATTGGGGATGTAAATAAATCGGAAAACCTTTACGAAGTGCTTACTTAAGTATTGACTCCGAACTGGTGTAAGGTTCTATTTGTTCTTCAAATTGACAATATTTAAATAAGAATTACAAAACAACGGAAAACTTCACTTTGAAGCTAAATGATTTGCATTGAAATGTTCATATGCCGAAAATGAAAGAGCAGGTTCATTAAACTTTAGGCCATTAAATTAAAAATAAGAAACTTAGGTGAGAATTCACAGCTTTGATATCGAAAATATGCACATGGAAATTACAATAGAGCAGCTTACAAAATGAAATAAAAAATACAATTAAAAGTTTTCGCTTATCTAAGCAAGGTTGGTGTTAAGTTTAACCGTATGAAAGGAATTTGAAGTTACGAGTATAAACTCAGCTTCCAACTACCATGAGAACTAATTTTGCCAGAGAGACTATTGACACTTTTATTTACCAAAAAAATTCACTAGAATTGAACAAGAAAAGCACCGACAGGCAGCCGGCTGCACAATGAAGACAAAGTAATAATGCAAAATCTATTTCCAAAAACCGTCTATGGTTTTTTTTTTAACATCACAATGAAAGAAACTCGCATGAATTTAGAACGCTAAAATACCGAAAACAACTAATAAATATGCCTGAACAACCACACGGAAAAATCACTAAATTTTCCCCTAACACTCGAGCTTATAGGGATGCGTTTTCCGATCAGTCTCTGAGAAAAATGGCGTATCAGGACGCCATCGGTTAATAAAACAGGGCGAACATTAGCCGTCCTAAGTCTCAGAGGAATACGGAGGGGTGGTACTTACTTCCTTGGTTACATTTTGAAATCATTGGTGATCCCTGTAATCTGATTGGTTCTCAGCCATGTAATTCATTCACAATTCGTACTATTCTTTGCTCTAATACGCATCTTTTTCCCAGGCGAAGAGAAAGAAACACTAAAACTTAACACATAATTCATATTTCGAGGCTTGTTTAAGGAAACCAACAAAATTGAGGATAATGAAAGACAAAGAAGCCACATGTGATGGCAAATTTTGCAACTTTCGTTCCAAAAAACTTACTTTTTTTTCCAAAGAAAGGATCAATGAAATGGGACGCTTAAATTCTGCGATTCCAAAATGGATGTCATGAAGTGGCAATTGAACTTTCTGCCGTACAATTTTGGTCTAAAAACACACTTGTGACTTCAAATCGGATTGTCACTGTGTTCTCGTTCAACTTTGAAACCATGCGTATGATTGGAGACCAAAATACACTCCATTCAGTTCAAATACAATTATTCACCCCACGGCGTGTAACGTTGCCGATGAAATATTCCTCTTCGTCTGACTCTAAGCGTATTTCCCTGACCATAGCCTTTAATCCCTCGAACACTTCCTTAGCAGTAGGTTCTATTTGTGATGCTGGCAGGACAAATCCAAACTTTCCTTGATCGCGTAGTTCAACTGAAAATGTGTATTTCACTTTTAAGCCTCCGTAGACATAATCGGTTAAGCTCCCAGAATGGATATCTGAGAGAAAGAAAAACAGGATGAAAAAAATACTTGTCACAGAAAGCTGACTACGTTATGATAAAAGGGGAAATTTTGTAAAGAAACTTTGGTGCTGTGTCAGTGGGGAGTATAGAATTGCTTCTTTTCACCAGCCTTTTTACAATCCAAATCTTGTTATTATCACTATTAAAAATGGTAATCGGACTAAGTGGAGTCCAATTCGGTCTGTAATCAGGAGAGTAAAAATTGGACCACCGCGAAGCTTGACTCTTATTCGTTAATCGAGAGTATGATAACAAAACCAAATTAGTCGACGCGAAGTCCTTTTATCAATAAATCAAAACTATTACAAAATTGAGAAAGAAANCGTAAGATTTGTTAAATAAAAGGGAACTCTTTAGCTACAATGTATCAATGTTATGTTATAAAACAAATGGTAAACACCACAGCGTACACTATTGAGTTATGGATGCACTTGGGAGGTTTGCTAAGCACTCAAGAAGCTAGAGTCGCTCTCGGCTATCGCCTCGAGCGACTCTTACGCTTCTTTCGTGCTTAGCAACCTCCCGCGTGCATCCATGACTCAATAGTGTACGCTGTGGTGTTTACCATTTGTTAAGGAAGATTAGTTTTAGGAATATCGGTATTGCACAAAGATGTTATGGGGAGAGTCCATTACAACTTGAACAGTCTGGAGCTGTAAGGTTGCATTCACGATGGAAAGCTGATAATGTAATTTCAATTAGAGTAAACCCTTGTGGACATCTGCCGACGGAGACATTCGCCAAAAAAAAGGCAAAGAGATCTTCAATACGAAATACAGTGACTTGAAAAACTTTCTACAACTTCTACAACTACTGAAGTGTTTTAAAATTTTTCGATTTACTTTGACGCATTAAAGCTGTCTCTGTTTATACGTATCTCAATAATTTGAAGCTTTCACGTAGACTTATGACCCTCAACATCCTTGAATATTCGGCTCAGTGTAAGCTGAGTAATAAACTGGTTGACGACAGCTGTTCATTCACTCTGCGATGTTCGTTTTCTCCTCGCTACTTTTATTTCTCAAAAGAAACACTAATGAATTCGAAGTTCTTCTGTTTTCAGGCATCTCAGTCATACTGATACAATTTGCACTGAGCGACCCGGATTCCTTCTATCACTTGGGAGAAATTCAAAATAACAACACCTTGCAGATATGGTTTTGAACTCGTAATGCGTATTATATTATGACGTATATTGTTGATTTTCACGTTTATATCTAGGATTTAGACGCAGATGTGCGATAATTTGGAAGGTTCGTAAGTAAAAATTAACAACAAAGAAAAGGACACCATGTTGGTACTCGTTCCAAAAAATAATTTGCAGAACTTAGATAAGAGAAAAACCAGGTCGGTTTGCTTACACATCGTGTTTACATGACTTCTTGGCGCCCATTTTGGCTAACAAGACAATAAAATGCCTGCTAGGTTGGTGTGCCAAGTCAGTCCTGCAGGCTTAGTCGACGGCTTTCTTTCTTTCTTTCTGGTAAATTTTCTGAGCTGCTTACCATGTGGCTGAAAACCTTTTACGCGATGAAAGACATTAATTTATGAAACTGCTGCTCTTCAACATTCAAGTAGATTTATTTCACAGTCAAATGATTTACAGAGAGTTAGAAAAAGATTAAGATTTAACCAATGGTTTTAACCGCTAATCTAACCTTATCTATCAAGTCTAATAATGTAACTTAAGGGTTTAAGTCACATGAAATTACAAATTATCAATGTAGAGATACAATTATCAAAACACACAGGTCTTCGTACGGCCTCAACATTAAAGTTTGCCTCAAAAACCCGTTACCTTTCTAAATGACTTTCTGATTATATTTAACAAATGGTAAACACCACAGCGTACACTATTGAGTTATGGATGCACGCGGGAGGTTGCTAAGCACGAAAGAAGCGTAAGAGTCGCTCGAGGCGATAGCCGAGAGCGACTCTAGCTTCTTGAGTGCTTAGCAAACCTCCCAAGTGCATCCATAACTCAATAGTGTACGCTGTGGTGTTTACCATTTGTTTTATAACATAACATTGATACATTGTAGCTAAAGAGTTCCCTTTTATTTAACAAATCTTACGCGACCAGAAAAAACAAGCGCGCGCGGAAAAATAGTCTTTGCATTTGCTCACGTCAGCAGCGTACACCCATGGGAAAATGGGGGACGCTAAATTGACCAATCAGAGCGCGCGCTTTACTTTGGTTATGTTATAATTCAAAGATGTTCTGCGGTTAGAGAATTAACTGAAGACTAAGTTTGCCATATTTGACGCTTTAACTTTCTGAATAGTTAAACATAAAAAACGTTCTCACAATTTTGATTCATTATCAGGCAAACGCGGGGAGCGAGACACGGGTTCGAAGCTTGCCGAAGTTTGAGGTGTTTTAAGCTTGACTTCTGCAATTTCTTTGATTGCAGAACACCTGCATTTTGTTACTTATTTTCATCCGCAAGTCATAATACAGATTACTTTTACCTAATCCTGAACATATTTATTTAAGGAAAAACGAACACATTATAATTTGCCTCTTTCTCCACATATGATCTGCCACTTCTTTGCTTAACAGACAACTTTATCAACGAGAGACTATTTTCTTGGTTTGACGCCGTCTTCTCCTAACAAACACGCAATGCACTGCGGTCCTTATTAAAAGTGACTTACAACACGGATGTTTAGCATCATAATTTTAAATTCTCTTCTCACATACGGTATGTTTTTACACGGTCATCCATTTTGCCTTTCAAAAGTGCGCTAAAACACGGATGAAGGAATGAATATATACGAGAAATAACATCAGCCAGTTTGCATTGCGAGTAACTAGGAGAAATCAGACAAAGAGCCACCCTCAACTCGTTTATCTCTCTCTTCTTTACCTCTTTATTGTTGTATAACCAAGGGCTGCATTTTGATCAATTTTTCCCAAATTCTCCCACTCCTTCAGAACAGTAGAATTCAGGGACCCGTGTGCAATTCTAATTCCACTGTCAATTGGAAATTTATTGATAATAAAATACACCCTCCCTTCTATTTCCACTGCACCGAGATTGTTGGCGGGAATATTTTTTTGTTCAACAACAGTCCAACTGTTGGTTTCCTCATTATACATTTCAACGGGTGAAGGGATGTCAAATTCAACATTCCGTCTATCAAAAGCAATACCTTTGCCCCCAGCAACGTAGAGTTTGTTTTTCACGACTATAAGGATGGATCCAAGGTGAGGGGAGGATGTTGTTGCTTTTACTTCCCACTCATTCTTTTGAGGGTCAAAACAGTGTAACTCGGCCTGTTTTATCGATGGAACGCCAAACAAACTGGAAAAGTTTATCGCCGTTTCCCTTCTCCCCAGAACATACACCTTTGAGCTCAATACTACTGCGCCACTTAAGTTAAAATTATTGACAGTTTCCATGCTAGCAAATGGTTGCCAACGCCGTTCAGCAAAATTGTACCTTTGGGGATATGGATCGAAGCTTGCACTTACTGCATACATAAACTCATCTGTAACACACAGATCACTGATGCCACCACCTGAATACGGGAGTCTCTCCCACGCATTTTCTACTGTACCATAACGGTAAATGCAGTTACCTAAGGAGTCCCGCGCAGCAACCATCAACTTATCGCCAACAGACACTGCACAGAAACAATGAGTTGCCGCAATTTGCGCTGAGAAAACCGGTAACGTTTTCCAAGTCTTGGCCTCAACATCGAAGTATTGCATCATTTTCTCAGGAAGAACAGCTACAAGAACCTGTGGGAAAGTTACAACGTTACGATAAAGCATTAACAAACAACACGATAATTCCCTTTAACTTTTCAACTCCCTTCTACCTTACAGTGTGACTTTCAAAATAAAGAAAACCACAAAATTAATATTAGAAAAAGAGGGGACACCAACAAATGGCATAGAAAAATACAAGCACACAAAAAATAAAACTGGAACGACGATAGTTAAGGATGCAAAGGATCAGTAAAATCAGATTTGAAGCCACAAACTTGAAGAAATTTCGTCAACGTTTTCAAAATTCTGAAACGGTACATGACGAACTTCATTGACCACAACCACTGTAAAGGCAAATCTCATCGATCAACATTTGTTAGAAATAAAAAACAAGGAAAACGGTCCCCATCATTTTAAGACGCACTTACTGGGTTCTTTAATCGTGGCTTTGTTTGCTCCACTGAAGACTTGGGTTTATAGGTTGGCCTGTGTTTATAAATTGATGCTTCGTAAACCTGCTTGTAAATTTCAGGAATTTGTTGCATCTCCTCTGTGTTGAGGTCATCAATCACAACTCCAATATCAACCAGCCCCAGACGAACAGCCCCGATAACTTTGCCTGCGACTGCCATTCTCTCTTCCTTCTTGAAGTTAATCCATTGCATCACAGATTTAAAGACAAACGTCTCAGAAGGTGCAGTGAGTTCCTCTCGGCTAAGAAGGCTGACTAACTGATTTCCACCGATGTGCGTCAGAAATTCTTCGCTATCACAGACATCCGCATACATCTTAGCTACGTTACATTCTGCGGCGTCTTGCAGATCTTTCAGTTTATAGCTCAACGCAATTTCCCAGATGCGACAATAAGTTTCAAAGTCGAAACGAAGCTTGACAAATTCGGTCAGCAAGAAATTACAACACTGATGGACAGCACTTGCAACTTGAAGATGATCTGCGGCAGCGAGAACCTTGGACACGTTGTCCTCGTTTACAAGAAGATCTCCAGTGTAGATCGAATCCAGTATGATCTTTAAAACATCTGGTGAGATGCTTTCATCTTTGAGCTCGATCATTTCCTGGTTGGACTCCTTCATTCCATCTGTAAACATGGCGTAGAAATAATCGCTATTCGCAGCCAGCACGATGCGATGAGCTGGAAAAATATCTTCACCAACTTTTAATCGAACGTCGATGAATTGACTATCGTTTCGAAACTGAGCACACTTCGATAGAAGGATATCAGCGTGGGCAACCATTTTTCTAATCGAAAAGAGATTTTAACCACTGTTCAAAACCAGCGAGAAGCAATGTTACTGACGTCTTTGAGGTTCCGGCGATCGCGTGATTGCGTGACCGTGGATTAATATCAACGTCAGCTCGTTACCATGGCCACTGAGTATCATTCGCATTTAAATAGTGGAAAATGACATTCTATTCGTTCCTCAAGCGATCTGCGGGACAGTGAAGGTCTATGAAACCTTCTATTTGGGGGGGTTGATACTAAACCTAACAGCACACGTTTTATGCTATTTATTCTGAAATTAAGTTAACATTTGTGGATAGAAAGAATACTCTAATTAACCCTGGCTTCTTATAGGCTGATTAATTCTAGTAAACATTTTCACCCTACTCCGACCGAGCATCATGATCAACGACATACCACAACATAGCAAGTTTTGCGTCGTGATCTCTGCCGTAAAAGTAAGAACCACGTGCACAAAGGCAGCACCTTTTCGTCAGTCATGCTGGAACCGTGGATTTTACTTCCGCGTCCTAAACATGAATATTTGGCACCTTATGCAAACTACGACGGCGATGGTAACGCAAACGTGGTGTAACAAAAGATTTAATGAATAGGGAAAAAAGCTCAGTTTGTGCGCTCTAAAAACCTTATGCATTTCGGTCCGTCTTCTGCTCAGTAAACAAGAACGTAAAATCAACGTAATAATTTGCGTGGTCTGAAAAAGGAAACTGTGTCAGCGAATCATTTTTTTTTTCTGTTTGGAACTCAAAGCGGCTCACATAAGTCAACCTGAATGTGAAGTCTAGCGCCGTAAGAGAAGGTTAATACCTCCAGCCATTCGCATAATTCCCGAGAAAGATGAGTTATTTTTTTTAAATCCACGTTTTCCTCTCGGGCAAAGAAGCCAGCTAATGCTGACACTGAATTTACACTGAGCGACCGATCCTTTCTTTCACTTAGGAGATATAGAAAATAGCAACACATTTCAGATATTGTTTTAGCCTCTTTTTTCTTATGTTTATATTCCCGTTTTACCGCATGGATGGGCGCGGGTTTGAGGATTTTTAGGGGGGGATCGCATGGTTTTCATGGTGATAAGAGGGGGGATTAGTCTTCGCCAACAGTGTATAGCTATAGAAAAATGGACTACCAGTTAACTGCATATGACGAGAGGGGCCATAAAAATATTGCAGAGCTTTATGGGGCGATCAGGTAAACTTTATCGGGAAACACCAAAATCCTCCTGTCTCCCTACTCCCAGACGCATTCCGCGACTTTGTGCAAGGGTCGCAAGTGAATATATAGATATATAGATATATANAATCTCTTATTAACCAAGCTTGCTCGGGACCGTGCTGGAAGAATATCGGCCCTCGGTCTTTTTTGTACGGACCTCGCTGCGCTCGGTCCGTACTGTCAAGACCTCGGACCGATATTCTGCCAGTACGGCCCTCGCGCTTAGTTAATAAGATATATATATTTGGCGCTTTAACTTTCTGATGATTTTCATGGAAAACTATTTCAGTTCATTATCAGGCAAATGTGGGGAGCGAGAAACGGTTTGGAATCCGCCCGATGTCTGAAGTGTATCAAGCTTGATTTTCTGCAATTTCTTTGATTACAGTTGACCTGCATTTTGTTACTGGTTATCATCCTCAGGTCATAATATAGACTATTTTCACCTTATCCTCTAAGACATTTATCTATTTACGGGAAAAACGAGCACATAATTTGCCTCGCTCTCCACATATGATCTGCATTTAGTTTTGATTATTGTTCACCCATAAGTACCACTTCTTTACCTAACAGGTTACTTTAACAGGTTAAAGAGAGAGTATTTTCTTGTTATGACGCCGATGTCTCCTCACAAGCACACAATGTACCACGTTCCTTTCTAAAACTGTGACTTTCAACACCGTTTTTTAGCTTCACACTTTTCTATTCTTTTCTCGCATATAGGCATGTTTTCACATGGTCATCCATTTTCCCTTTCAAAAGTGCACTAAAACATGGACGAATGAATGAATATACACGAGAAATAACATCAACTAATGCGCACTGCAAGTAACAAAGAGAAATCAAACAAGGAACCACCCTAAACTCGTTTTCTGTCCCCACTTTACCTCTTTATCGCCATATAACCAAGGGCTGCATTTTGATCTATTTTTCCCAAATTCTCCCACTCGTTCAGAACAGTAGAATTCAGGCGCCCGTGTGCAGTTCTTATTCCACTGTCAATTGGAAATTTATTGATAATAAAACACACCCTCCCTTCTATTTTCACTGCGTTAAGATTGTTATCGGGAATATATTGTTGTTCAACAACAGACCAAGTGTTGGTTTCTTCGTTATACATTTCTACAGATATGCATGTAGGTACAACAATTTGATGCAGAAATTTCCACGCTGGATAATTAGTAGTAGTATCGGATCTTCTCCCAGCAACGTAGAGTTTGCTTTTCACTACTAGAAGAATGGATCCCAGCTGGGAGGAGGTTGTTTTCGCTTTTTCTTCCCATTTATTCTTTTGAGGATCAAAACAATGTAACACGGCTGGCATCATATTTTCGTTCCTATCTCTCTCCAGAACATACATTTTTGAATTCAATACTACTGCACCACTTAAGTTACAGTTTTTGGGTACTCCAGGAAATGTCTGCCATTCCCGTTTAACGAAATTGTACCTTTGAGGACTTTGATCGCGTATACCTACTGCATACATATACTCATCTGTAACACACAGATCGTTGATGTGATCACCTAAATACTGGAGTCTCTCCCACACATTTACCTCAGTGTCATAACGGTAAATGCAGTTACCGAGCGAGTCATGTGCCGCAACCATCAACTTATTGCCAACAGGCACTGCACAGTAACAATGGGTGGCCTCCATTCGCGGTGTGGCAACCGGTAACAACTTCCAGGACTTGTCCACTACATCGAAGTACTGTATTGGAGCCTTTGGCAGAACAGCAACGAGAACCTGTAGGAGAAATACAAGGTTAGGGTATAGCTTGACAAAAAAACCGAAGCCTACTTTAACTTTCCTACTCTACTCCCCCACGGGCAGGTAACTTCAAGGAGTTCTGCTTTTTTCTGGATGAAGCCTGTTACTCAGTTCAAAGTGAAAGAAACCACAAAATTCTCATTGAAATAAGAAAGGAAAAAACCGAAATGGCTTATAAAACAAACAAACAAACTAACAAACATCAGGAACGTAAAAAGCGTAAACCGCGCATGACAAACTTCGTTGACACAACCAGTGTAAATGCAAATTAATGTCGATCGACACTGATTTACTTATGGAAAAAAAAAACAGTTCATATTATTTTAAAACACACTTACTGGGTTCTTTGATCGTGGCTTCGTCTGCTTCCCTGAAGACTTAGGTTTATAAGAAGGCTTGTGTTTATAGATTGCTGCTTCGTGGACCTGCAAGTAAATTTCAGGAATTTGTTGCATCTCCTCTGTGTGAAGGTC